AACTTCACCACAAGGATCTATTCGCCCGGTGGGCTTGGGCGTTCGAGGAACCAATGGCAGTGATACCAATCTCGACCTTGCTGGCTCAACGCTAGGCAGTTATGATGACAGGAACGGCCATGCTCTACGACCAAGGAGAATCAGCCCCGTAAGGACCTACGTACTGGCCACCATGGATTACTGGAACTATCGAATGTGCGACATCACAGAAGCAGAGACAGCAGCGGAAGTCCGTCAAGTTATCTGCATGCATCTTGGGCTTGGCGACTTTGAAAATTCTCACATTTATCTTACAGAAGTTGGCAAGTTTGAACATGTGGATCCCCTAGACGACTCGAGCCTTATTACCGTCAAACGAGCCAAGGGTGACCCTCTTGGGACACTTAAATTCTTCGTGACACCCCCAGGAATTGCCCCCATTTCCAGTCTTCCTGTTAAAGCTGAGGTCCCTGTATCCTTGTCTCCTGGTTATCTCCCACCGGGAACCACTGCCGAGGATGCCCAACGAAATAGCAGACAGCGATCCAGTTCATCGCCCCCCACCTCGCGATCTAATACATTGACAGATGAGAAGACAGAGGATAAGGTAGCCCGCGAGGCAACTTCGTATAGAGCTGAAATGGAGAGAAAGCAGCGTGAGTATCTGGCCAAGAGGAAACAAGCAGCGATGAAGGGTAGTCCATCAGAAACACTTGGACCGGGCATCGTCGGCCGGAACGTCGATTTCGACCAACCTCGCGACTCGCCGTATGAGGACAAGAGGCCAGAGCAACTCTTCCCCCAAAGACGACCTCCAGCTCCACCAAGCGATCCTTCTGCGACATTGATCAAGGCGAATTCGCTCAGCAGAAAGACTGGAGCCAGCATGCGCGCATCAAGCAGCAGTCTCGAGGGATACCCAACACCACGGCATCCAACCGAGAGTGAGATGACAGAGAAGTCCAGGAGATCCAAGGGAACATCACAGCCAGCTGCAGGTCCTGCTGGTATTGGGGCAGCCCTTGCAGGTATGGGCAGAAACTTGAGCGCTATTGGACAATCTGCCAAGAATACTCGTGGCTCTTCTCCCTCCCGATCCTCAACACAATCAATTCCTGGAGGTAAGGACACTTTCTCTAACGTCGACCCTCCTCAACCAGGCTTGGATCGAGATAGTCCTAGTACAATAGCAACACCAGGTACCGTAACCTGGAGCAAGAAGAACTTGCCCTTCATTGTGCCGGACTACTCGCCCAGCCAATCGCCTACGTTAAGCCCTAATCTTGAAGCTGCATCAGAAGCTAAAATCTTTGAAACAGTCCCGAGGGCAACATCCCCTACTGATATGAGCCCCAACTCGAGACGTACAAGGGGTACATTCGTTCCAGACCATCCGTCGCCTCCAAAACGGCGCGCAACCCATGGGCCAGATCCAGACTTTGAGGACTCGGACGTCCAATTTTCGAAGCCCGCTCCCGCACCACCAGCTGACGATGATAGCGGGGATGATTCGGATGACGGGCTCTTTGCCATTCCCCTTGCCAACCGAAACAAGGGCAAGGGTGCTACTGCGAACGGTGATGCAAACGGTCACAACAAGCGTCCTAGTCTAACAGTTAATACGGCGCGCTCCAGGAAGGGTCTCTCTGTCGCCTTTACATCGCCCAAGTCATATGGTAGTAGTGTGACTCCTGACAGTAACGAAGATTCTCGACAAAAGCCGACTACTCCCCATTCCGAAACGTGGGAATCGGAAGAGAAGGACAAAGACAGTAAACTCGGCCGGCGAAAATCGTTCATCGAGAAGGATGTCTGGGCTAATCGTCCGCCAACGGATGCCCTTATCAATAACCTTGACGACTTCTTCCCCAACTTAGATCTTGATCAGCCTGTTCTCGATGAACCTGGCGAAGGTGGACTGCCACCATCTCCAATTGCTGAAGGCACAGAGACCACATCTGATCAAGGGCCATCCCAGTCGGCAGTGTCGAGCCATAATCAGCAAGCACCGCCTGTAGCGATTCCGCCGTCCCGGCAGCCATCTCTATACAACGAAAACGACACTCTTGGCTCCGACGAGTCAACCCTCAAAGCCCTCGATCAACAGCGGCCCACTTCTGTGGCTGCAAGGAGTATTCGACGCTCAGGCGGTCTCGGTCGAATGAAGTCCATCCGAGAAGTCGCCCGCGGCGCTCACGAGGCCAACAAGCGGACCAATTCAACTAATCAAGGACCGTCGTCAAGCAACATTATGCGTCGAAAGAGTACAAAGATGTTCAACGCCAACATTGTACAAATTCGACCGGATAGGCGTGGCAGCGTCATAATGCCGCAGATTCCTCAAGATACAGTGCCAAAGCGACAGACGACATTTAGGTGGTTCAAGGGTCAGCTCATCGGCAAAGGTACTTACGGCCGAGTGTACCTCGGTATGAATGCCACTACAGGAGAGTTCCTGGCTGTCAAAGAGGTCGAGGTGAACCCCAAGGCGGCTGGTGGTGACAAGAGCAAGATGAAGGAGCTTGTTGCGGCACTAGACCAGGAAATCGACACAATGCAGCACCTGGACCATATCAACATTGTGCAGTACTTGGGTTGCGAGCGAAAGGAAACTAGTATTAGCATCTTTCTCGAGTACATTTCTGGTGGCAGCATTGGATCATGTCTGCGCAAGCATGGCAAGTTTGAGGAGTCTGTCGTGTCTTCACTGACAAGACAAACACTCTCCGGCCTCGCTTATCTACATCGCGAGGGCATTCTGCATCGCGATCTCAAGGCCGACAACATTCTTCTTGATTTGGACGGAACTTGCAAGATCAGCGATTTCGGCATCTCCAAGAAGACAGACAACATTTATGGCAATGATAAGACAAACAACATGCAAGGTTCGGTGTTCTGGATGGCCCCAGAGGTCATCCGATCCCAAGGCGAAGGTTACAGCGCCAAGGTCGACATTTGGAGTCTGGGTTGTGTAGTCCTGGAGATGTTTGCTGGCAAGCGCCCCTGGGCCAAGGAAGAGGCTGTTGGTGCCATCTACAAGATAGCTAATGGCGAGCGACCACCGATCCCCGAGGACATCCAGGATACTCTTGGACCGCTGGCCGTTGCCTTTATGATGGATTGCTTCCAAGTGTAAGGCTCTTGATATGGTAGTGTGATTCACAAGGCTAACAACAAGACAGAAACCCCTTCGACCGTCCCACGGCGGATGTGCTCCTTTCGCAGCACCCGTTCTGTGAACTGGATCCAAACTACAACTTTTACGACACAGTGCTGTATCACAAAATCAAGTCGTTCAAATAAACTAGCTATAGATACACGATCTTGAACGAGGTGGTTTATTATCCTTTCCTTCACTTCCCTTCTCTTTTTACATGTATTAGTGGCATGGGAGTTACACGCTTTGGAAGTTCGAGAGCGACGGCGTCATTATGGGAACACGGCTTGATAGCTGATTGGCATTGTTTATGTATGGGGAGGGGGACGCAAATGGTAATGAAATGAACGGCTGGATGGCTGGCTGATGATATCCGATACTGTGAAATATGTATGTATCAAGTGACTCAAAAGAAAAGTCCAAGCTACTGACCTACTGGGGCACTGCCTTGAAGTCAATGGGTTTCTGCTTCTCATAGTATGAGTTTAATATGTGTTTATTAGACCTTGGCTAGGCATCTGCCCCATCATATGCTTGTCAGTCATCGCTACTCCAAAGTCAACGCATGATAAGCCTTGAAAAACAGAAGTTTATCTCTCAACGAACATTACCAGCATCGCACACTGTTATAAGAGCCACATTTCCGTTCAGTACTATTGCAGCTTCATTCATCTTAATACCCCCGAGTTCCATCCAGTAGCACATGCGGCTTCTCTCAACGCCTATCGATATTTTGATATATTCTACAGCACTGTTTGTTCATGGGCGACCCTACCAAGGAAATCGCTGCTCTGGCACTACGCATCTATGGCGAAGATCGAGGTCACAAAGAAACTGGCGAGTCTTCATTGCCGACTCCTAGCCGTTCGCCGCCGGCGTGGCTAGCCCCTCCATCGTCGGATGATCAGCTTCATGTCACGGCCAGCCCCAGTCCAACTCCGTCACAACCAAAGCTGCCGGAGTATCTAGAACCTGCTATTCCACAGCCGCAATGTCATCTCCCTATCCGTTTTGACCTAGACCATCCGTCTTTGACTCCAGGGCCGAACTATACCCATTCTCAACTCTCCCTTTCACATCATAGAAGGAACTCCCACCCTAGCCGCCCTGTATTACACCTCAGAGGCTTGTTCCGCAACAATGAGCTTCTCCCACCATCTGGCCCAGATCCGAATCAACATCGGCGGCTGTCGTATTTTGAGGACGGCACTTGGCAAGAAGGCGCAGCGGCATTGAGCCTACTCCTTGTCCACCTTCCTAACATACGCAACTACGAGGGAGAGATGCTGAAAATGAGGCATCTCCTCGAGGAAAAGATGTTTGAGCTCTGCCGTCTTATGGAACAAAAGGAAAATAAAGGTGTTGGGCTTGAGATCTATGCTCTCATAGAGCATAGAAAAGGGGCCCATCCTAAAGAGCTCGTCGAGAAGATGATGATGTCTTACTTGGAGTTCGGTTTCAGGATGGCTGGGAAAGGAGACCAGCAGAGGACCATCCTCGAGCAGGAATGGGCAAAGATGGAAATTGTTTTGAGTTGGGTATTGGTCCTCATTCGGCATTGGAATTAAGATGTTTTGAAAGTGCCCCTTACCGATGCAGTAGAGCAAAATCCTCATCATCACCGGCGACATCAGGGGGCAAATTGGAGGCCGTGGCGGAAGTTTGGTGCACACAGCAATTGAGTGCGCCCTCACGCATTCTTTCTGTCAACCGTTTCTGATAAACCTTCGTGTTAATCATTCAAGACATTCTCTTCTCTATAATATTTAGTGTATCCTCAATATGAGTCAATAGCAAGATATCTGTCCTCCACGGGTACCATGATAAGTAAATTGACTCACTTGAACCTTTCGTCCCTAGACCTTCACTTTTTGCCCTCGGCATCCCTTGTCTTCCCAGCCTGTCCTTTGCCGGGGGCAGCATCAAATTTCGACTTCCAAGTTTCCTCCTGTTTGAACATTGCGATGCACTCAGCAGCACTTGGCTGTCCGTATTCAGGATCAGCGCCACCATCTAGCAACTCCTTGATTTTGGTATTAGTACTTGGATTCAGTTCCCCTCTAAAATACATTTTGATCCGGAACAACTTCAGAGAATGACTCACTTGGATTACTGCATCTTCCTTCTTGAACACTGCCCCAGCGAGAGGGCTCTGCCCTCGGTCATTGAGGCGATTAGGGTCCGCACCATGTTGAATGAGAACCTTGACTAAGTCGGCATGGCCATGATACGCAGCGAGCATCAGCTTGGGTTGTCAGCGCAGGCTGCTTGAAGAGGTAATGCTCGAGGTATACTCGAGTGTCATGGACATACCAGAGTATCGCCTTTGTCGTTTGTCAGATTTGGAGGTAGGCCGGCTGGAAGAGCCTGCTCAAACGTAGCCACGTCTCCCTTTCTCGCCGCATCGTACATCCTGCTTGCGAATTCTATCATCTCGGGTGTGAGAGATCCCGGGCGGGCTGGTTGGTTGGAAGCGTCGCTCATGATGATGCCTTAATTGCTGCCTCAACACGTTTCTGTGATGTCTCTCGGTTGGCAAGATGAATGAGCGTAAAAGTTCCAATTTTGAGTAAGTCACAAAGAAAAAGCTGATTCTGGGCGCTTCTGATGTTGTTGCGATGATGGAGAAGAAGCCCCGAGTTATCCAGCGAGGTTGAATGAAATGACGTATGCTATTGGCTTTATTCTATGGCGTAAATGCCGGTAAAGCAGTTTAATGGGACGGTTACGGAGGCGTACTTCTAAAACAGATGATAACGCTGTTTCCCTAATATAATGATATTGCGCAAAATCATTTGCTAAGCTGCCTTTGCTGGAGAATCTTATTTCCAGTTGCACTCGTGTCATTCTTGGTGATATCAATACTCATACTCAATCTGTGTCACGCCCTTTGGTGGTCTCTGACCTCAAACTCATATGCTCAAGTTCCCAGGCTCAACGACTCGTAAGAAAAAGAACAAGGAGAGAAAGTCTCATCACCGACAATGAGCCTCGTGTTTCGCTCATATACTAAAAACGGGGAAAATAATGTGATCGCGATGCATTCTCGTACAGTTGTGTTTACAAGGGGATAATTGATCAAAAACGCCATATAGAGAGCATCGTTTCGTTTCGTTTCGTGCTAACCATTTCTGATGAGTCGAAAAATAGTGAGTATCATCAGAGAACCTACCGTAAGGTACACTCATTTATCTCAAATATTCATTTCATACTTCATTTAGTGCAGAAAGTCTGTAATACCATCGCCTTCGCCATTGTCTGGCTCATTGGGAATCGGCGGGTCAGGTTTTGGCGTCTCTGGACGATGCGCAATGGCAACAATTGGGTTCATGATGAATTTTGTGTGTTCTCCTTTCTTCTGATGATGTTTTATTCGTCTCTTTTGGGACAGCTCGATCGAGAGGATGATGGTTCTTTACTGTCAAATATTGAAGAGGGAGATGGGTGGGATATATAAAAGCAAAAAGTCAACTAACAACGCGGGGGGGCACGTTACGTTACGTCAGGGTTTGGTGAGCCATCTAAATCATTGGAGGAGTTGAGCCAAAGACAAAAAAACGTGTGGTTTACATTCCATCCAATCCATTCCAACTCAATACCTAATTGCCGCGTGGGTTAATAAGGGGTTGCAGTTGGGTAGGTACTGTATGTATGACGAGCACCGTAGTGAGTGATCATGCGATTTCTTCCAGGCCCAAATGTCGGTTATGTCTGATATCCTCAAAAGGGCCGTTAAGTTCCAGGACCATGGATATCATTTAGACAACATTTTATAGTTGACAGAGAATGCGGGGGTTGGCGATTGTTTTACAGATCTTTGGTAACATGTGCTTGCTTTTTCCGCCGCGGATCTGGATACTCAATCGTTGGTAAAGGTCCCTCCCTCCCTGAGCATAGGGTAAATGAGTTGTTATAAGTTATCTATCATGGTACACTGCGTTGCACATTGATGCACCTGGTCTCGATACGTACTTGCATGGCATGATATGATCTGATATGATATCAAGCATGTGATTCGAGCCTCACGACGTGCAATAAATTTGGCTGAAACCCTGACCCTCTCTTCGTCATTGCTGACTGATACTAACTAGCAATTACAGAGACACCTTTTGTCTCTGGAAAAACACCATTTCTCGAAGAAACCGCCTGGACCAGACAAAAATGCTCATCGCTCAACTTTCCCCATGTACAGACAGTATGTACGGAGTAGCCCCCATCATGATGTGGAAGTCTGACAGGGACAGGGAGCAAGGGTTGAGGAAGCCCAATTGGTTGTGACATCCTTGGGCAAAAGACAGTTGACGAGTGTGTCTGTTGTAGAAAATTGAGCGAGATCGGCATCTTGGACGTTTCGGGGTCTGCATGATGAGCCATGGCCGCTTTCTATAGCATCAGCCCTTGAACGACATACAGATCTTCAACACCACGCTTAGATTACCCGAAGCAGCATCTTGGAAACAACGCGATGGAAGAATACCAGCCAGAACAGGATTGTCGCCAAGTTGCCCATTACTACGATCTCCGTTCCCCTGATATTTTTGTACATACGTACTTCTAATGCTCTGTGGCTGAACTAATAACAGTCGGATCCGGCGGGAGAGGGAGGATACTTCGGCTTGTGATCGATCCTACCAACGAGATGAGGGGTAGCTAGCTAAGCTCTCTCCCTCTACTCAAAGCGGTTCACTACCTCATGGCAAATGCTGGTTCTCAATTGATCGGCATCGAAATCTCAAGCTTGTTGGATTTGGCCGAGCTTTCCACTGATGGGTACTGTATGTAAGACTCGAATTGGATCCTTTGCGGATCGCTTCTTAGCGGGAGACGTAATATCAGATCAGGGCAAAGCGGGTGTCGTGCATGCATGAGACGGACTAGACTGTCTAGATTGGCATCAACTTCTGAGCTGTACGGACGATGCATGCGGTCACGTCGGATAAAATGGAGGATACAGACAGAGAGAGGTCAAAGTCAAAACCAAAAGGTCCACCATGAGTTTGCTTGCATCCATCCATCCTTGAAGGGCGTGTGTGCATAGAGAGGAGAAGAGGAAGAGCTTGGTGAGACGCGTACGGAGTAAGTGGATATATCTTCCCCGGAACGCTCAGGGCCAGGAGAGGCCCTTGTTGGTCAAGTCGAATATTGAGGCTATGGAGAAATGATTGACCATCATCGTCGAGAGAGACAAAAGGGTTTGTGTATGACCTCAGAAGTTGGGGACTCACTCATGACCCAAGGTAAGTATGTATGCATCTCGGACAGGTCACACAGGTCCGACAGCGTAACCCTACAGTACTGTACAGTACAGTACAACCAACACAGGAGAAATTTCCTTTCCAGTAAAACAATACGCAGGAATTATCATAACTCACAAAGCATGCCACAAACTGACTCTTGACAATCCCCAATCTTTGGATGGGAACCCAATCGGCTGGTAGACGGCCAATTTGCGTTGCATTTCAGGCCACCAAACACGTCGGGTGAGCTGCTACCGACCCGATATGAGATGCCATCATGAGAAAAATTGGAAGAAGGACATTCTCGTAAAATTGAGGCTAGGGTAACAAGTATCATGATATCAGTCCTTGAGGTGTTCAAACATCAGATGTTAGTTGGATCAGCCACAGAAGATACATGGTGGAGGGAGACGGGTACTTTATTTTACCCAATGATTCAGGTGAATGTTAAAGTACAGACTGACTAAGCCCGTGTACCTCCGGCACCCGCAGCCGTCTAAACCGCAAGCGGGGCTCCACCAGCGGCCGGGTCCTCCCACTGATTCTTCTCTTCATCATCATCCTCCTCCTCCTCCTCCTCCTCCTCCTCATCATCCATCATGATCCATTAAATCATTACACCCCTGTCAACTCTCTTCCTTCCCCCCTGGGGCCCCAATCAAAGCTCCCCATTCTCCAGCTTCGTCCCCTGCCCGTCAGATGTCAAGCATGTCCTGCGTGGCCATCTGTGACCTGGAAAATCAAGTAGCTTGCCTATTGAATATGCTACTGATAGTCAGAAAACGACTGTCGACGTGAAATAAGGCCCGACTAGCTAACATGCCACATTCTGAGCCTTGAGGCCCTGGGCTGGGCACTGTCTGTTTCAACCTGCGAGCCTGTTCTCAATTTATCCCCGCGAATCAACGGTTACGAAACGATTCGATACTATGCAGTAGTACTCTGTTTGCTATGCTATGCTATGCTATGCTATGCTATGCTATGCTATTATGCTAGAACCTCCTTCGTTAGCTCTGCCAAGGCCATCAGCACTTTGAGCAATTTGACTCTGCGATTGACTTTGGTAGTGATTACGATTACAATCCTCAGCACCTCTCACAGCACGAGTTCGGTAACACAAGGGGAATACTACCTAGGTATACATACTGTACCTACAGCGGGAGGTGGCGCTAGCAATGCCATTCCCGTTTTGGTGGCTGCAAAATATATCGAGATACAAAGATACATCAGACCACTTTTTGCAACGACCGTCAACATCCATCCATCGTCACCATCCGAAGCTCCAGAACGTGTCAAAGCTATCCACCTTTGACTCGTTCTTGGCTGATATCTGCCAACAAGAACCAAGAGCTAACGAGCTAGCCAACCTTACTTGGGTACCTATACCGATCTCCCCTTCTGTGCCGCCGGCGGAGGACGAGATATCGATGTCCTCCAAGGCAGACCACTTCGCTCCCCGTCCCATCCCATTCCACTGAGAGTCTGTCCTGTCCGGTCCGTCTTCCTTGCTCTCTTCCGCTCCTTATGCCTCTTCTGAATAGGCAGGGTAGGTTAAGTTAGGCAATTGGGAACGTCCCCCACGCACGCCACTATCTTGCCCATCGCTCATCTCATTACCCATCTTTGTGTCTGAACTTTGAGCCGCCCAGCCCAGCCCAGCAACCTCCTACGGGTACTACGTGCCATCCAATCCGTGACTGTGGTAATCTACACCCACGCCCTCGCCCTCGCCCTCGCCCTCAGCCGTGCAGAAAACCTATCCCATCTCCCTCGTACTCCAATTGGATCACCATCCTGCTGTAACCTCTGCTGATCTCGTCAACGGCCGTCTACCCATACGTAGTAGCTCCATGGGCCATGGGTTTACGTTACCCTACCCAATCTGCGGCGAAGACTTCAAACTAAGCCTGGTATAGTATGTACCTACATGTCGTAGCATGTAGCAGGTAGGAATAGTACAGCATAGCATAGCCTTTCCTTTCCCTTTGGCGTTCTCTCACCGCACTCCCCGTTATGCTCTATACCTACCTCTCTGCTCCTCTTTCCTTGGCAGCCCTTTCAGCTTTCTCATATAAGAAGTCTTGGAAGCTCTGCGTATAGAGTTCTCTCCTTTGTTCTTTTCTTCTCATCTCTCATCCCAAGAGTTCAACTCTTACAACTTCATCACTTATATATACATATATCCTAATCACCCAACCCCCAATGACTGAGGAAGTTAAATCTATCTCGCCCTACGGCATTGCCCGCTCAACTGTCAAGGGCGAGCCTCTCTCCAAAGAGGAGATCCAGCTGTACAATGACTTCTTCAAGGCCAGCTGCTACCTCTCCTTAGGTATGATCTACCTCAAGGAGAATCCTCTTCTTCGAGAACCCCTCAAAGCCGATCATCTCAAGCTTCGATTGCTTGGTCACTTTGGCTCTGCCCCCGGCCAAATCTTCACATACATGCACTTTAATCGTCTGATCAAGAAGCACGATCTGGACGCTCTCTTCATCTCTGGTCCCGGACATGGTGCCCCCGCTGTCCTGTCTCAGTCTTACCTGGAGGGTGTCTACACCGAAGTGTACCCTGACAAGACTCAAGATGCTGAGGGCATGCAAAAGTTCTTCAAGAGCTTTTCGTTCCCCGGCGGAATTGGCTCTCATGCTACTCCAGAAACCCCTGGATCTCTCCACGAGGGTGGTGAGCTGGGTTACTCCATCTCGCATGCTTTTGGTGTTGTCTTCGATAACCCCGACTTGATTGCTCTTACTATGGTCGGTGATGGTGAGGCCGAGACTGGTCCTCTGGCTACCGCCTGGCACAGCAACAAGTTCCTCAACCCAATTGTTGACGGTGCTGTCCTCCCTGTTCTTCACCTCAACGGTTACAAGATCAACAACCCCACAGTCCTTGCTCGAATCTCACACCGAGAACTCGAATGCCTCTTCATCGGTTATGGCTGGCAGCCATACTTTGTTGAGGGTGACGATGTTGAGACTATGCACCAAGCTATGGCTGCTACTCTCGAGCACTGCGTGGACGAGATTCGGAAGATCCAGAAGGAGGCTCGTGAGTCTGGCGAGGCCAAGCGACCTTTATGGCCCATGATTGTTCTCCGAAGTCCCAAGGGCTGGACTGCCCCTCGCAAGGTTGACGATAACTACCTGGAGGGTTACTGGCGAGCTCACCAGGTCCCCATCTCAGACCCCGCCACAAACCCTGCTCACCTCAAGGTCCTTGAGGATTGGATGCGAAGCTACGAGCCCGATCGTCTATTTGACGAGTCTGGCGCGCCCATTGCCTCTCTTCGTTCTCTTGTGCCTGAAGGTAACCGACGAATGAGCGCCAACCCCGTCGCCAACGGTGGTGCGCTTAGGAAGCCGTTGAGAATGCCCAACTTCAAAGACTACGCCATCAAGGTTGACAGCCCCGGAAATGTCATGAACGCTAGCATGACCAACATGGCTGTCTTCCTCAAGGATGTCATTGCTGAGAACCAGACAAACTTCCGTCTCTTTGGTCCTGATGAGACTGAGTCTAACAAGCTTGGCGGTGTCTACGCTGCCGGAAAGAAGGTCTGGATGGGCGAGTACTTTGAGGAGGATTCCAACGGTGGTAACCTTGCTAAGGCTGGCCGTGTTGTTGAGATGCTTTCTGAGCATAACTGTGAAGGTTGGCTCGAGGGTTACCTCCTCAGTGGTCGTCACGGTCTTCTCAACAGTTACGAGCCTTTCATCCACGTTATTGACTCCATGGTCAACCAGGTATGCAACATGATTTATCCTAATGTTACTCTTACTGACTATTCCTATAGCACTGCAAGTGGATTGAGAAGTGTCTCGAGGTCGAGTGGCGTGCCAAGGTTGCCTCTCTCAACATCCTCCTGACTGCCGTTGTCTGGCGTCAGGACCACAACGGTTTCACTCACCAAGATCCCGGTTTCCTCGACGTTGTCGCCAACAAGAGCCCCGAGGTTGTCCGCATCTATCTTCCTCCCGATGGCAACTGCCTGCTTTCTGGTATGTATAACTCGCGATTTTAGTCTGATCTTGACTAACTTGTCACAGTCATGGACCACTGTCTCCGATCAGTCAACTACGTCAACGTTGTTGTTTCTGATAAGCAGGAGCATCTTCAGTACCTCTCCATGGACGCTGCCATCGAGCACTGCACCAAGGGTATTGGTATCTGGCCTCAGTTCTCCACCGATGCTGGACAGGATCCCGACCTGGTCATGGCCTCTTGCGGTGACATCAGCACTCACGAGTCTTTGGCCGCCATTGATCTCCTGCTTGAGCACTTCCCTGAGCTCAAGATTCGATGCGTCAACGTTGTCGATCTCTTCAAGCTGATCCACCCCAGCGACCACCCCCACGGTCTTCCCGACACTGAGTGGACCAGCCTCTTCACTGATGACACTCCTGTCATCTTCAACTTCCACAGCTACCCCTGGATGGTGCACCGCCTGACATACAAGCGTCCTGGTAGCCGCAACCTCCACGTTCGCGGTTACAAGGAGAAGGGCAACATCGACACGCCTCTCGAGCTTGCTATTCGTAACCAGACTGATCGTTTCAGTTTGGCTATGGATGCCATCGACCGCATGCCTCAACTCCACAACCGGGGCGCCTCGGCCCGCCAGGCTCTCCTCAATGCACAGATCCAGGCCCGCAACGAGGCCTTTGAGACAGGCATGGACCCTCCCTTCCTTAAGAACTGGACCTGGAAGCGCAATGGCCTTTGGAAGAAGGTCACCGACGGCCTTGTCTCTCGATAGACGGACATAGAAACATTTTACAGGTCAAGGAGAAGCGGATGCAGCCCATCGCTGGATATCCCTTCACGGTACCAAAGATTTCTAGACGGAAACGAATAGATGAAATAAATTCAACAAAAATAAGACGGTGGGCGTTGCTGGACGGTTCGGTTATCATGTTAACAAGATGTTACGGCTTTCCTATTTCTTCTCATCGCTTTACGAATTTCCATAGTTATGCAATACGAATCGTTCAAAATAGTTCTCATGTAACACTCAATTCTAAACTGCTTCTCTCTTCATATGATACTGCATCATGCCTAGATCAGGGAACTCACTTGTTCCAACGACCTTGAACCCAAACTTCTCATACAGGCCCCTTCCTTCGCCAGAGCTATTCAAATAAGACATCCACCCTTCTTGGTCGGCTCTCTCGACACCAAATCTCATTAACGCAGATCCTACGCCCCGTCGCTGTGCTTCTTTCGCAGTGGCGATCGTGCTCAGGAACCAATGCCTCTCACCAGCGACATATTTGAAAGTCTCATCAGCATTCCTCTGAAAGAAATTCGCCGCGGTCGCTTGGTCTCCTGAAGCAGGAAACGTACAAGGGTCGATCTGCTTCCCCGACAGCGGTGGGTTCTCTCTGCGAACCCAGCGCGCCCAGCCGAGGATTTCAGAATCGTCCTCTGCGACGAGCATGAAATTGTCATCCTTGTCGTCGATGTTGGTTTGGAGAAATGAGGTTTGAAAGGCTTGGACATCAGGAGATGATGGGGGAAAACAACGCTTGTTTAGAGGCGAGGAAGAGAATGCGGAGAAGAAGACAGCGAGCATTTGGGGGATGTCGTCGGGCGTTGCTGGGCGGATTGTTATGGGTGGCATAATTGCGGTTGGTGAAAGGTTGAAGTTGCGATTTAGGTAGAATGAAGAGAACATCGGTATAAGTTCTTTGGCCAATAGGGAGAGTGAGTCACGCCGATGAAACAAGCATGCTTCTGTTGAGATATCAAAGGGTCAGCCGCAAGCAAGCACTAATACAAAGGCCACTTCTGATACTGTCACCAACACAACAGAAACTTAGGCCAGCACGAGAGTGTAAGTTCGAAAAAATGACTAGCCTTCATCTATCACTACTACAAGTATTGGTCAACTCAATCATAGCTTGTGATTCGCCAGACAAGTAGCTAACTGACGGCGACTATGTTCTCCAACTACCTAAGCTAGGCCAGTTTCCTGACTAGTTCAAACGCTCTCGTAGTATTCCCATAATTAATTCCGACTTCCTGAACGCCCCGTTGCCAAACCGACCCATCACCGTGCTATATCGCTCTAACCAAGATGACTGCTTTTTACAGCTACAGAGCCTTGACTGACTGAAAGAAAGGGTTCGCCTGCAGCTCAGCATTTGCCCCAACAAGCTCTTTCAAGGCAGCGACTTGCTCCTCGCGGCTCATATTCCCTGCCTTGACCTTATCCTTCCACTCCACCAAGACTCGCTTGAGCATGGCACTGCCCGTCTCAACGTCTTGCTTGCTGTACTGCAGTGCTAGATCTTCGTGCTTGGTAGTAAAGTCCTCGAGCTCGTCTGCCTTGCGTTTGGCCATACGGACAACCTTGTCCGGGAAGCGAACTAGCTCGGCGACGTGGATGCCGAAACTCTGGTCGCACACACCTGGTGCGACCTTGTACAGCAACGTCACTTCGCGCTTCGCATCCGCTTCTGAAGCCGCTGCTGCGCTAGTGCCACCGATGTGCGCCGTAACGTGGAGGTTCTGCACTTGCGGATACTGGTCGGCGAGAGCTGTGAGTTCGTGGAAGTGAGTGGCAAACATGGCAGAGCAGCCGATCTCCTTCACGATGTGCTCTGAAATAGCCCACGCAAGACCGAATCCGTCATATGTCGATGTGCCACGTCCAAGTTCGTCAATAATGATCAAGGACTCTGCTGTAGCTGACTTAAGGATGTTGGCAGTCTCAAGCATCTCAGCCATAAAGGTCGAGACACCCTTGAGCTGCGAATCGCTAGCACCTACACGTGCCAATATGGAGTCATAAATGGTCAACTCGGCTTCTGCGCAAGGCACGAAACACCCAACCTGTGCCATGAGCGCAATGACACCCGTCTGTCGGATGTAGGTTGACTTACCGCCCATATTGGGGCCGGTAATGATGAGGAAAGACGACTTGTCACGAGTAAGCTCAATATCGTTCGTGATGAACTGAACATCGTCCTGGAGTTCCATACAAGGATGGCGAGCTTCGCGAAGTATCGTCTGGCCCTCTCCACGAGCGTGGATCTTGGGTCGGACGTACGACTCAGGGGCATGGACTGAGGCGTGGGAAAGGGAAACGATTACGTCAAGGTGGGCAAGAACACCAGCTAGGCGCTCTAGAACTGGACAGTAGGATGAAGCAACTTGGACGACTTCGTGGACGAGACTGCTTTGTGTTCTGTTGTAGTTCTGAGATAGCTGATCATACTCGCGACGATAAGCCTGCAACTTCTTGGTCGTGAAATAAACACCGTTCTTTTGTGTCGAACACTCTTGATACTTGGAGTTGTTTCGAATGCAGCCAGCCTCTTGTCGTGTGAGACGCATGCAAACTCCGTGCACCTTGTGGCTGGTCTCAAGGAAGATCTTCTTGTCGGGATCTTGGCCCAGGTCTTTAGCCGAAGCCGTGAACTCGGCACGAATATCCTTATCAAGCTGGTCAAGTTTCTTTCGGATGATACGTAAGCTTTTATCGAAATCGGCTTTGATGATGTACTCGTGTCGATCAAGAGCGTCGAGATCAACGGTTTGCTCTACCATGTCCTGCAACTTGCCCAAGCTATCAGAAAGGTCGCGAAGCTTGATCGTGTATGCCTCGTCGAGGGGGTCTTTATAGCTCTCGTCCATGACACCTTCGAATGTGCCAATAAAGCCAGGTAGACGGATGACAACCTGATACGCGCGGACGACGTCCTCCAGGTTAGCCTTGCCTCGCTGGAAGCGTTTTGAAAGCCTGTAAAGATCAGGAATGGAACGAAGATGTTCCTCCTGGAGTGTCTGCCGGAGTTCAGTATCAACATAAAAGGCTTCTACCAACTGTTGACGCTTCTCAATCTCCGTCTTGCTCATCAGAGGCTGCTTCAACCACTGCGCCAAGAGTCGGCTACCAACTGGTGTCTTGCAGTGGTTGAGTACACCAAAGATGCTCATCGTTTTGGATCCATCTCGAGGACCTGGCATAAGGTTAAGGGCCTTTAGAGCAGCAGCATCTAGCTTCATGAAATGTGCCAGGTCGTGTTGATATAGCTGATATTGGCCAAAGTTGGAAGGATCCTGCAGAACGCCGAGGTACTTGATCAGAGATGCAGCAGATCCCATGGCCAGCTTAAGGTCGGTCTGTGGAAGGAGAGAAGCTGATCGCTCATCTTTGAGCAGACGTGCCAGGTCTTGTTCAATATCCCGGGTACCAAAGTCGCCAGCTGGTCTCTCTGCGATAGCCACACCGCAATTATCGATAATCTTCTTTAGCTTGGACAATTCAGGGTCCTTCTCCTTTTCACCCTTGTCGATCTGTATCAAACACTCACGGACACCGAGCTGGATAAGGAGTGCCTCAAAGTTGGAGTAGAGGTCGTTGTCGAGAAATTCGCTTACGCCAAGCTCGCGGACGCTGGCATCGGCGAAGCAAACACCGACATTTCGAGCTTCGGATGCCTTTGTGGAGATTTTGACGGCGAGAATCATAGGCGCAGACTCAATCTGGCCTCCAAGGTCATCCTCAACATCTTGTAAGTTGCCTGGCGAAGCCTGCTTGATACACTGCCAGTTCATGCGACCGGAAGGGCTTTGCCAGATCTCTATTCGCTTTCCCAATTTGAGTAGGGCTTCTCGAAGGAATTGTCGGAATACGGTCATGGTCATGGTGACTGAGGGTAGTCCGGAGCTGTCATTTCGGCCGAGTTGTCGAACCACTGAGGTTGTCTTGTAGACCTGTAAAATGGTGTTAGCAGTGTTTATAATGGCATTGCAGAAGTATCATACAGTTTTAGCGATATAGGTGGCATCTCGGCCATGTGAAGTATACCAATCTCCTCGGTCAAAGATGCGGATTGTGTCTTCGTTAACGGCTGGTAATGATTTGTAGAATCGAATGAAGCCGCCCTCGTCATCGAGCTGAAGATATAGAATTAGTTGAGTATATTCCGAGGTAGATTAATTTTCGGTAGGTACCTTGAGTTCTGGTCGTGAAGCCATGATAAGTCGATTGATTGTCTTGTAAACTCCTGATACAAAGTCAATCAACGTAAGGGTCTCGTCGTAGTAAAAGTGCCTGAGAGACGTTGTACTTGTCGCGTCACTAGCTCCCGCATTGGCCGGGAGACGCGTTTTTGTGGGGGCCAGTTAAAGTGGTGACGCGAAACCATCGCTGTGCATACATAAGTTAGGTCGTGCATAATCCTTGCATAAATGCATAAATACGCCGTCGCTGATACTGCATAGATCTAAGGTGGGTACCTAAGGTATTCATTCACATGCACAACAATTGCCTTAGTGATTCGTGATTGGCCAATTAACACAAAAACCAGCAGGCACTGGCCTCTATTGGAAAGGTAGAGAGAGGTGCCCTCATGCATCGCCATTTCTTCATATTGAACCATCAAAACTCACAGTGCATCTCGCTATCGACATCGCACGAGTCTTATCATCAGATAGTCTCCTTTCGAGATCCGCGTCAAAGGTTCAATTCAACAGCGGCTAGCTCAGGGACCCCTGGCATGGCTAAGCTGAAGAGCTGCCACCATACCAGAACAAGACAGCCTCAGCTCAAGAAAGGCACGGCAGACTCGAATGTCTCGAGACTATTGATCGACACATAGTGATAACCAATCAGAGGTGCACTATTAACAGTTCAGTTGCCATGATAAACTTTCAGTCAGCCACGACTCTACTGGGAGTCTGGGATATTCTCGAGATCCCGTTTGATTAGCGTCAGCCGGCCCGTGCTATTGCTTCGACACTGCACAGTTGTCTGGAGAGTGAGACTTCTTATCACGAACATGGCAAGGGTGTGATTCTCGGGCCGTGGGGGCTTGGGAATCACTTTCTATCGTGCCGTACGTGATCATTTCTCGTTTTGAGGCGAGCAACTATTGAGACGAACTATTTGTGATGTGTGCTGGCGAATCACTAGTTCTTTGCATGGAGATTCACTGCGAAGAAGTCATGGGCTGAGTGAAAACAATGAGATTGTATTCGCAGTGTTCGTATTGGCCGAATTCGATGCTTTTTCTCCAAGTGGAAGCTGGAGAATAGAGTCATTTTTAACCTTGTTTTTAACTTCTGCCAAGTGGGTATTTTTCGGTTTTTACAGCCAAGAGCCGCAACCTAAATCTATAAGCTGGAGCTAATAATTCTTTACAGATGAACATGACGGAAACACTGCTATAAACCATGGCATTCATTGTCAACACGTGCCATCAAGAACAAGTTGTGCTTGAATATTCCACGTCTTGGCGACAAGGATTAAACGCTCGACATTGACCATCCGGGTTCTCACTAGAGGCCCAAAATGGTAATTTATTACCGATTCATAGTGGACACAGGCACAGACACAGACACAGACACAGACACACTGACACAGACACCTCGAGGCCATCAAGGTCCTCAAGGTTCTTTCAGCCAATCCACTATTTTCTCTATCATGGCTGCGATTATTGGCCTCTCCCGTCGATGGCGACTGGGGGAGACGACTTTCTCTGAGCAAGAGGCTGAGACATTAACTTTTGCTCTCCCTCCTTGTTCTGTGCGCTTTTATTAAGGGTTTATACGGATACATATGAGCTTTCTTCACTGCTACCCTAACTATCTTACTCAGTGTCCTAAAGTCTTCCTCAAACAACCCTTTTGGACAGTTTCAAGTTCCCCCTCCCAAACTCGAGACTCTCTCTTCCCGGTTCACTGGCTTCAAGAGACGCAAGCTAGCGATTTAAGCATAAATTTCGACGCAGTCTCTCGGCTCTCTTGTGCCGTAGTCAACACTCAACAGTCGATCTCGTGCCGTTACCCGTCCGTCCCTCGCCTACTGGTCAATCTCAAGATGCACACTTCCGCTTTGTCACTCGCTAGATGGGGCCTTGTCTTCTCTGCGGCCTCTGCTGCTGCCCATATCGCCCCTAGAGCTACCCAGGCCCCCTCAACCACACCAGCCAGCCCTGAGGTAACTGCTATTACAGGATGCCACCTTCATGCCTCTGAACTGTTAGCGAATACCTCTCGCAGGTCGATACGGTTTACTAACACGCTTTCAGATATTGTTTCGCTGGTGAGACCGAGTACTTGGTAGATGTCAAGGTTACTGCAACCACAGACGTGCCATCACAATACACTGACTGCCATTCCCATGGCTCTGAAATGTAAACTACTAAGTCTACCTTGCCATACGTCCCTACTAACTTTCACGTCCTAGGTTCTGTGTAGACTCTGACGGTGGAGATGTTTCTGTTCAAGCTGAGGGTGCTGAGTCAGAAGAGGACCACGCAAATGAAGGTGAAGATCATGACCACGACCACGACCATACGGAAGCAAGTGGCACCGGAACTGCAGCCGCAGCTGGAAACACCAAAGAAGCTGAGAATGAGCACTGCCATTTCCATGCTGGTGTTGAGTAAGTTGCTTCCTTCACTTCCACACACACCACCAACAGTCGTTAATGGATCCATGTAGACACTGCACAGGCCACAGCGATTCTGGAACCAGCGAGTCGGAGTCTGGTTCCTCCTCCTCTGCATGCCAGCCTCGAAGGAGGGACTATGACGTTGGTCTCCGTGTTGGTCTACTCTTCGTTATCCTAGCCACGGGTGCTCTGGGTGTCTTTGGCCCCATCCTGCTGCACAAGATGATGCCCAGCAAACTCAACATTGTCCTCATTGTGTTAAAGCAATTTGGAACTGGTATTATAATCTCTACTGCCTTTGTCCACGTACGTGAAGTGATCTACGCTTACGAACAATTGCTAACTAATGTCTCTAGCTGTACACCCATGCATTCCTCATGTTCGGTAACCAGTGTATTGGAGAGCTGGGTTATGAAGCTACGACGTCCGCTCTTGTCATGGCTGGCATCTTCCTTTCTTTTCTTGTCGAGTACATCGGCAACCGCATTGTTCTTGCAAAGACAAAGGCTTCAGCCAATCTCTCTGATGCCGAGAAGAAGAGCGTTTGGTTGTCCACCGAGGTTGTCAGTGTTCTTGTCATGGAGATGGGTATCCTCTTCCACTCTCTCCGTAAGTGATCCTCTCCATCACCTCACGATGTGGTTGGCTAACACCACTGCTAGTAATCGGCTTGACGCTCGTTGTGGCGGGTGATGAATACTTCCTCACCTTGTTCGTCGTCATTCTTTTCCATCAGATGTTTGAAGGTATCGCTCTTGGAAGCCGAATCGCCACCATTGGTACTCTTAACGATACTCACGGCCCGCCCGTGGCTCGCGTCTCCCAGGACACTTCCTCTGCCCAAGATTCTGACAAGGCCCCTGCTTCCACTGAGACGATACCTAACGAGGAATCGGCCCCTGCTGGTTTGACCATGAAGAAGAAGCTCGGCCTTGCCTCTCTTTTCGCCTTCATTACTCCCATCGGCATGGCCATTGGCATCGGTGTCTTGCAACAATTTAATGGTAACGACAAGTCTACTCTCATCGCAATCGGCACCCTCGATGCCATCTCCGCAGGTATCCTCATGTGGGTTGGGCTTGTAGAGATGTGGGCTGCAGACTGGATGTCAGGAGGCCATGGCCACAAGGCTGAGCTCGCTGACGCCAACATGCTCACTACCATCCTTGCCGGCACTGGTCTGGTTGCCGGCCTGGTGGTAATGAGTCTTTTGGGTAAGTGGGCATAGGCTTGGGTCTTTTGGGAATGCTTCCTTCATCTTGTTTTCACGATAATACGATTGGCTAAGGAGTTTGGTACCTGCATTTACGGAGTTCGTGTCAGGAGCATATGCAGTTGGATTTGCCCTGTTAACAAACCAGGGGGCAATAACTGCTTGGGTCTATATTACATATGGCGTTGCTAGGATAGAGCAAATCAAAACGAGGTAAAGGCCGATTGATTACATCACTGCGTGTGCCCGTGTTTGTGGCCAATGTGGGAGGGTTCATATCAGCCCAATCCAAGTGCCAAATCCTCCCAGGGCATTACCCTTCTGCTACCAATTAACCTTTTAGGAGCCCCTTTCCAAGGCTCGGTGTCTGGTACTTGGGTGCTCTGTACTTCAATGTCGAGTTGCGTGTACCGTTATACGGCAGCACCTGGATGCTGTTGGCCGTAGGGCTGTTCATGACATCCCAGTGATCGGATATGTTTGGATTTCCGTAGGGCCGAAGAGCTGCGAAACGCATTCTTCAAAACTGTCAGAATTTCCTATTGGTAAAATTAGGAGCTACTCACGTGTAGTTTCCAGGGGCTATTCTTGTGCCGTTGGCGAGCTTGCCAAACCACCAAAAGACGTGAAACCCTCGTGATTGTTGTTTCAGCGGGAATGGCAATGTGTCGTTCGGATCGTTGACAGTAGGGTCGAAGAACCAGAATTCCTCCGCATCTCGCATTGTTGTTGCTGAACCAATAAAGCCATGTCTTCCGACCCGTGGAGGATAAGTCCATAGAGATTCTGACCAACCTTGTTCGAAGATCTGCTATTCATCAGTCATCGTAAACGATGGGAATCTACAGAAAACTTACGTCCCACCGAAGATTGTCGCAGGCGTATGATGTCCTACCGCCAATTTCAATAAAGTCACTCGCATCTCTGTCGATATTGAAAGACCATCTACACCGTCATCAGCAAAATGTATACACGGATTGTGTCACTTACGCTGAATCTTTATCAGGGTCCGTAACAAACGGATCAACAATGAACATATTGTCAAATGCTTTCTCGGTATCGTATGCAGCTCCTGCTCAGGTCTCTTAGTAAATTTAGGCGTGTGGTCCTTTACAGAGAGCTAACAAACCTCCATATGGGATAGCCAATTTCTCCCCATGATCGGAATTGATCAATACCTTGCCACTGTAGAGTAGCAGGTAATCATCGTCGACGTCGGGAAGCCCAAAAGTAACACTAATCACTGTAAGCGACCAAATTTGCGTCATCAAATCAGGCCTACCTCAACTCTCTTGTCTCTCCAGGTTCAATGAGGGCCCTGTGTGGAAGTCTCACAGGAGGGACAATGTTTTTGGGCTCAATAGCATAGAGTAAAGCCACTCCATATTCGGGATCGTAAATGTTGAAACCTGCTTGGGGCTCAAGCTTAAAAGTGTATTCGTGTGCTATGCCGCCGGTATTTGTGATGTTGAAAGTCCATCGAGGCCGGAACAGCTCTGTGTCCATCAGAGAAAACGATTCATACTCGAGTTGAGTGTCGTAGTTGAGAACTTTCCAGGCGTCAACAAGTCCAGTGCCAACCTGGAAAGGTGAGGCTTTATACTTGCGCATTAGGCGATTATTGACAAACGGTAGGGTCTTTCCACTCGATGCGATACGATCTCTGAGCATTTTGGCAAAGCCTGCGCCATTGAAAGCACGACCACCGTACTGACCCACGAACAAAGCCGCAATGCCTGCAATGTAGGGTGCCGACATGGATGTCCCACTCAGCTCCTCGTAACTCTGATTTAGTACAGTACTCATGATCATGTAACCAGGGGCTGCAATGTCGGGTTTAAGAAGTAACTCGTTGGTTGGGCCCCAAGTGGTGAAGTATACGGGAAGTGGCCCAAGATCCTCGCCAGTTCTGTTAGCATTTGGCTTCGTAGTAACATTAGCAGCAGCAACAGCTAGAACTCCTCTGCCGACAGCTCCGCTGCTCGAGTAGAATGGTCCAAACTCTCCTTCATTACCAGCTGATGCTATCACGACGACGCCCTTGTCTACCAGTCGGCTGGCTAACATGGCCCAGGGGTTATCTGACCAGCCATTGGGTTGTCCAATACTCGAGGTGATAACATCGGCCTTAGAGTCCCTATCAGCAGTAACTCATTATTGTGCATAATAGTACTTACTCCCGCATTGTAAGCATCACATAGTGCTTGCATGATGGTCTCTTCGTCGGTCTCCCACGGATCCTAGCGGTTCTTAGCTGTAGAACTCTCGAAATGATTAATAGTGGTCTCGCATACTTACATCAGAGAAAACTTTGTATATGAGAAGTTCGGCCTCGGGCGCAACTCCAGTAAGCCTAAGGTCCATGTCGTTAGACTCTATTGTATCTGCCTCCAACGCAACTAACCATTCATTCTTAGCAGCAATGATACCTGCAACGTGAGTTCCATGGCCTTGGTAGTCCATAGGATCATTATCGGGTTGCTTAGGATGCATTCTCTCATTGTGAGTTTCCCCTGGATGAAATGTGAGCCCTTGATCATAGGAATAAGTCCACCAAACCCACAGTCTGCTCCGACAAGATCATAGCCCCCTTTGACTTTGCAGCCAGGTCCAAAACAGCCTCCGAGCTTTGCAAAATTAGTGCGTGAATAGAACCAGCTTCAGAATGAGCATACCGCTTTGTGAGTATAGTCAATGCCGGTGTCAATTATAGCGACAGTTGAACCCTTTCCACGAATACCGGCAGCATGGAGTTTGTCAACACCCGTCCAGTGATGGATAGAATAGTTTCTTATAGATGAAGATGGGCCATTATCTGAGAACTCGACTTTTGGCATGGCCACTTTGTGGGCCTGCCACACGTTCACAACTCCTTCCATCTGGAGCAATGTGTCAATATTATCTGTGTCAGTTTCAACCACCATCCCGCTGAAAACATCACTACAATCAAAGCTCTGGAACAAAGGCCTTTTTCGATCAGGTTTCATGAGGAGTTGGCGTGTCACTGTGGTCGTGCCTTGATTCTGCGAGTGTGAGTGATTGGTTCAAGGACAGGACTGGTTTCCTTACCGGCTCGACTTCAACAATGAACTTGCGGGTGATTCCAGCACTCGTTCGACCAGTTCTTGAGGCACGAGCAGCTGGTTTGTTGACAGCCTCGACATCAACGGCCACTGACGCCGCAACCAACAAGACTTTTAAGAGATTGTATGACTTCATGATGGCGGGGTGGTCTGAGCGAATGATAGGGGATGAGAGATCAATGGTAGAAAATAGAAAATGCCCGGAGAACATATATATCACTCGTTATACTTCCATCGCATTGGTGCTTCCTCGGAAGATTAGCATGGTCGGCAAGGTCTCGGGAGGATGCATTGTCAACGTTACAGTCCTCATTTGGGCCACGGAAAGGGGCAACAAGTACGTCTTTTTCTAGTTGCCGTTGCGTGATTCAACGTTGAATGTTTTGGTGTCACAGAATGGGTAATCTTTCCCTACCTCTTCACGTAGCGAATGTCCCTAGCCAAAGACTGGAGGGTTAGCCAAGACATCTTTCTGAAGGTTGCCTCGGTGTACGGCTAAGCACATCGATCCGAGTCGTGGACCGGCTGTGCAGGCTTCTATTTGGAGAACACCGTGGCATCCCCTGAGATTTGAGAATGTAGCAAGCCTATGCTGAGAGGGCCCCATTTGAGGATTGGGCGTGACGGGAAGTTCTTGTGTTGTCTAACGGCCGAGTTTGATATATATGAGTTAACCGGAAATTGCCATTGCCGGATCGGTTTGATGTAACGCAAACGGCCTTTTGGGCCTTGATATCACTGTAATGGGCCGGCTGCAACACATATTCTCGAACAAGAGCGTTGTGATCCCGAAGCCGTAGGACCTATCTCAAGATCTAGCGAGAGATCCGGCAATGACAAGGAAGCACATCAAGACCTACTTCTGTTCCATTTTCGGGGCGTGGACAGGGGATCTTGTGTCGAGAAGATGATGCATCCATCGACAGACGTGTAACAGGCATTCAAAGGAGGGTGAACAGTGCTATAACGGAAAGCTGTGCTTGCTATGATTAATCTGTGCTGTATCTTGTGTAACTTCGTGCCTCGACGAAATGATAGGTACTGAGTGTATTCGACGAAAAATCAAAGCAAAGTGCCCAGGGTAACTTGTCCATGATGACGAGTGCAAGAGATGCGGTTCAAGGTGACAGCTCACGTGAACGATGCCATGATGCAATGCAGTGCGAGGAAGGAGAACTTTTAGTTTAACAGTGGAGGCTGCTGATGGCAGCTAAGGTAGTCGCGATACACCACACCATCTCATGCAAGCCACAATTATTATATTCTGATTGCTTACCTACCTATTCTCAATCAACTTGCCTTAATAGCCATTGCTTCTCATGCGGCAGATTCGACTTGCTTGATAACGGTTCGTAGCATCTTGATCTATTCGATACCTAGGTATGCTTCTTCGGCTGGACAAGAAGCTACGTCTTGATACAAACATATTGCACATCGATATCTGTCTAGGTACCTACCTACCTACCTACCTTGAGGTACTAATCTATCGATTCTCCACTGCAGGCTCCAAATTCTACCTTGATTTAACAGCAATTTCTTGAAACATACGGAGTGCAAGAGCCAGGTCCTCTACTACATAAGCGACAAATGCACTAACAAGCAATAGATCACCAAAGTTTCTATTCATTAGCCAAAACGAGCTTCGGTCTCGTTGTTTCCAACAACTCTGACTGGCCAGAACTTGAGCCGGATCCGAGTCCGTGCCTGACGATCTCTCAGCCGGGTCGACCTGACTCGTTGTGATAATCCCAAGCCAAGCCACATGGCCAAAGTAGTCGATGTTTGCACGTTTTTGGCTTGAAACGGCGAAGAGAAACTTTTATTCCCATCCAAATCCATCAGTCTGGAAGCCCATTAGCTACGCCACTTTGTTCATGGTGGTAAAAACTCAGTCGATGAACAACCAGCGAGCAACAGGCTAACACTACCAGTGATAGCCGGGTAAGAGGACGAGAAAGGAGATCGCGTAATGGAGATGGATGAACCGATTGTTTCTACTAAGCGGCGCTGCAGAAAAAACGTGCAGCTCGTGCAGAGAAGCCATACCTAATACAGCATGTCCAATGAACCAACCATGCTTGCTCACCGGAGACCAACAAGGGGGGCCCGGTTCGCTTCGCCGCTATGGAGAGAGCGAGGATGAGCAAAGGAGATATTGATTCTCTTGGAATATTGCGAGCAACGATTAATCATTTCTTGGGGATATCTAACTATATCATATGAAAATCATATACAGAGTAAATCTCATCTTAATCTCGGCTGATCGACGAGCTGAAAGACATGCTCTGCGGATGACATTTTCTGAGTCGGATCGTCCCAGGATCAACATTTAGAATAGATAGAGTGTGGATACTGACTCGCAGAAACCATGTGGTTTGACGGTTTCCATGCCCATTTTCTTTTCCTTTTCCTTTTCCATTTTGGCTTACTTTCTCGCGTGGGTGGAAGCCCCAGATACTGCGTTTCCATGCCAGGAACCAATGGAACCTCGTTCGTGTTCGGCATAAAACGAAACCAGCTTCTGCAAACTCCTTCTCCCCTTTCTGAACTGGGGATTGCATGCACCTAGACACCCCCTGCGTCAAAAATGTCAACCCGACAACGACACAATCATGCTGGTGTGCTATTTAGCGCTTTCGTCGGTGTTGGGAACAGACTTTGTCTTCTGAGGTCCGAGCTAGATAGAATAATATGTAGCTCCCTTATTGGCTTTTGGACTAGTAAATTAACAAAGAGTGTGGGTTTCTTTCTTCACGAGTTGAGCTGAGGACAAAGAACAAACCAAACGCCTTTTGACGGGCCGTCAACGGGAGGATAGGGGAGAGCTTTGACAAGTTGGTGTGCAAGATTATCAGGGCTTCAAGCCAAGCCAAGAGGTCACAGTGACTGTTGGATGCAGTGATTTCCACCTCATGCTCCAGCCTCTTCAAGATGCTATCCTCTGTTCTTTTCTCAAGTCAAAAGCCGCGAGGCAAGCTTTCGCCAGCCTCCCCAAGGCTCAATCAAGGACAGAGAATCACTCAATGGCCATCAACGTTACCTTTCAGGGGGGCCTCAACCCTCAAGCATCTGCAGGTTGCTCCCCAAAGCTTTTGGGTCGCATGGCACCCTTGACACATCCATCCACTTTCACACGACCAGTTCCAATTAGTATCACCTGTCTAGGCTAAACCCACTTTCCGGGCCTCCCCTGTTGGGTGCATCCTCCTTGGATTCTCGCCGGGTCGACGAATGAGAGCATACCCTTCAGCTCGAGATGCCAGCGTCTTACGCGCTACAGACTCCACTAACTCTGTAAAGTTAGGTACCTGCGGGCTACTGCCCCCGGCGTGCTCCCCTAGACAACTAACTCTCTAGGGGCCCATGTATGCATGTTCAGCACCTCAACCTTGAGTCTTATCTTCCATCCAATCCGCCCCCCTCGTTCTTCTCCCTCTTCCTTGTACCTGTCGCAATCGTAATCCTTCTTCTACCCCCAGTCTCCCGCTCTCATTCACATCCACTCATTCATTTTTGACTCCGATCTCTTTCGTGGACAAGGAAACATAACTCCAGGCGATTTGCTTCCTCCTGCTCAAGCTATTAATGTCCCCTACTCTCTTTTAATACTGTCCAACCAACCTCGATATCACCGAAACAACCGAGCAACTTACATCAGTACTTGACTTGACCTGCTGGTAACCATATACTAGTACAAACACCAATACCCAGTCAAGACGAACAATTGCCTCCCCCTTTATGCTCAGGGTCAATTCAAGGACAACACAAGACACACAATCCCCCGAGACGGAACATTTTCACTCGGTACAAATCGAAAGCGTACGGCATTGATTGCAGTACGAATACCTGGAAACCTAATCTCCACATCCTCGACTCCTCCATTACGAAGCCAGCCTCCCTCGCCGCGCTCCAATCTCACCGAGGGATCCGAACTGATCGCCCTGACATATACATACAGTATACGGGCTCAATCTCACCTATTCTGAACTCACCACCTAAAAGTTCATACACCCACCGCAAAAATGGGCAAGTCTCTCATGGACAAGATCCAGGCCAAGCTGGAGCTCTTCCGTCTCGAGCAACGCTACACCCGCCGCCGTCACCGACGTTCCACCTTCGTCTCCAACGCTGTCTACGTTGACGGAGAGTACGTCTACCAGACTCCCAACAGCACTGGCTCTTCCTCCGGTTCCTCGAACATCGATGCCCTTCACGGGGACAAGGCCGGTGTTGGCTCTATGCCCGCCCCCTCAAGCGTAGTCATCGATGAGCACCACTTCCCTTCTGAGATTCAGCACCAGCAACAACCGCCTATGGCTACTGCTGAGCGCAAGCGTCTGAACCGCTTCAGCTCCATTCCTCACTTTGGAGGCTCAAGCAACAAGCAGATGCCCAGCATCCAAGAGCGACGGAGCAGCATGATCCGATGAGTTAATTCTCGGACAGTCAAACCAACACAAAAAAGACAAACCAATAAAAAATCACGCGATGTTCTTTTTTTATGATTGACGGCATTGGCGCCAAGCGATGGTTACAGCTTAGGCGCAGGCGTAGCAGGCGCATGGCTACAGCGTGTAAGCAACGGACACGATGAGATGAGATGAGATGAGACGGGAGAGCATCTGGTGAATGAATGAATCGGACTTGACGGATACCCCCAATTCATTCAAGGTTTTCCTTCCCTACGACGAAACTCGCCCAATTTTGTTGGTACACGTTCCAACATCGGATCACATCACTCACTACCTACCTACCTATACCTCACCTTTTTATTTTGGTTGGGTTGTGTACCCAGCCATGGGGCCTTGTTTAACGACTTGTTACTTTTCCGTCCCACATGCTTCCTCTCCCCCCTTTCACTCTGGACCCTCTAGAGAGGCTTCATTTTGGATATCTGGGGGGGGTTACGGACTGCAGAGCTTTGCAAGGCAGGACGTGGCATCGGTCATCACCGACATTTTTACCTAATTTTCCTTCTCTGGCGTTGATTCATGCTTTTTATTTGCTGTTATTGTTGCTTCTGCATCTCACTACTCAGCTTCCCACGGGCACAGCTTGGGGTTTGTTGGATCATCATTTCTAGAGCTGACAGGCGACTGTCAGGCGCTGCAATCTGTACATAACACCACAAAAAGTATTGCAGGCGAGTTTTATGGGAGGATATGGGCTTGTGGACTTTAACCTGAGGTACCAACGAATACACACAGATATCATGTTCAAACACTTATTAACTTGCTACCTTGCTGCTGTCTATGTCTATGACAAATGAGGATGAAACAAGTCTTGGTCGATACGAGATGTGGCATCGAATTTTAATTTCCGTGGATCTGCGAGCTATGTCAGTGTCTCTGGCTTTCAGATGCCTAAAACAAGATCTGTTTTAGCTGACCGTCGCAATGTCATCATAACTGTCAGATGAACGACACGATTGCGAATAAGAAGGCTTCTCTAATCATGGTCATAAAGATATATCAATGCTGTTGCATTCGGTCACATGCATTCTTACACGAAACCCAAGGCTTCGGCAGCCGGTTTCTAGCGTCTACAGCTCTAAAGTCATTGGATCGTGTAAGTTTTGGTCGGCAGAGACGTTGGATGATGCAAACGCCAGTGGCTATGCACAAACCTAAAAGTGACAGAAGTGGTTTCACATGGTGCGATCGTCCCAAAATTCCTTGGTCAACGCATAATATACGTTTGCGGTGCAAGTGGCTGTGTTGTCTGGTCTTGTCTTGACTTCTATATGCATGAATGTCTGAGCGCGTAACAGGTTTATGGGTGGTTCATGCTCCATAAACCGAAGAGTTGACAAGTGTTGTAGATTTCTATCATAATACACGTTTGAAGTAAGAATATAGAGAGGCAAGAGATGCAGGTTCCTTAACATTACTACCATCTGAGGAGGCTACCCTGTAGATTCACAGTTCAAGTTCGTCCCACCAAATGATACGCGGTAGTCACTGGAGGGCTTAAGTAAATATTTAAGATAGGACGCTGCTTACCAGTGAATTATGCCAAGCTTATTTTCTGCGCATAGTGTGTAAGTATGTATCTACTTGGTGGTTCAGTTATGATAATCCCATTTCGCCGTTTATCAATCCTACAACAAACGATGCACATAGAATACCTACACTGTAAAGAATGTGAGTATTACTTGGACACAACATGTAGTGCAATTTCAAACCCGATTAATGAATAAATAAACACCTAAATGACAGCCTTTTACCACTGCCTTATGCAACCTTTGTATAAATTCAGCTCACCCAAACTCCATCAACTCCCCTCGCTTTCCAATGCATCTATCAACTTCGAACAAAACAGGTGGGGTATACGGCTATGATATAAAACCAAAAGCATTGGATGCCCATCCCATCTCCGGGCGAAAAACAACTTACGCCACGCTCACGCTCACACTCACACTCACGCTTAAACAACAAGTCCATCATACGCTCTCTCCACGGTCCGGCTTCCCATGCCTGGAACTGTCCTCAGCTGAGCAAGGCTGTCGATACGGCCACCAGCCTCGTCATCTTTGACGAGCTCAAGATAGTCAACCAGGTCACGGGCTTTCTTCGCACCGAAGCCGACTAGGCCTCGAATCTGACCGAGGTCGCGTGAGTTGACAATATCGAGAAGATGCTGGGTTCGAGGCGATGCGGGACCCTCATCGTCACCCGAAAGAATGGACTTGGTGGCAAGAGCCTTGACCTTGACCTTTCGAGACTTGGGCTTTGAGGCACGGTGAGCGAACTCTTCCTCATCAACGTCTGCCTCGGCAGTCTCATAATCGCCGTCCGCATCATCGTAGACGAGCCTTCGCTTCTTGCGCTCCGAACGAGGAGTTTCCCGTCGAGGAGAAGGAGCGGGAGCGTTTCCCTCCAACCGCGATCTCAGTCTCTCGATCTTGTTGAGCAGCTTTGTTTGTCCAGGAAAGTAGGGCAGAGCCTTCTCGTACATCTTTAGCGCGATCTCATCCTCGCCGCGCTCCTTGTGTTGGCGAGCAGCCAGGAGGAACCTCAAACCCTCCGACTTGGAATCATCTCGCCATTCATCGCTGTCAATCCGCCGCTCAAGAGCCTCCAATCGCCTTTGCACAGCATCACTGATTTCAGGTTGGACCATTGGTGGTGGCTGAGATTCTTTTTCGGCTGCTACTCGAGCAGCAAGGATCTCGCTGACCTTCTTCTCAACCATGGCCTCAATTTGAGCAGCGGAAACCGTGACAGATGCTGGAGCTGCAGGTCTTGAGATCTTACTAGGTCTCATAGCGGCATCATTTTCAGACGGCCGCTTGACTGGATTGACTCGACGGGCGATATTGGAGCTCACTAGGGGACGGCTAACTGGTGCTGCTGGCTTGGACTTGTCAGTGTAGACGCTAAAGGCCTTGACGGGCTTATTGGCATCAGCAGCCTTGTCAGCGGCTTTGGCAGCAGCATTACCGTTGTGCACATTAGTGAGATTGGCAAGTGGCCGAAGAGGCTGACGCTGGACATTGGAACCTGTGAGACCCGAGTTTGCCCTAGGAACTTGCTTGTACACAATCTCATTCTCAATCTCCCTGACCTCAATCCTTTTCGCCCGAGAGCTGACATTGAGACTGCTGAGGGTGTCGAGGTGATAACTTCGCAGAGGGGATAGATTCAAGATCATGACAGTGATTCCACTGTTCTGGCCCAGAGACAGAATCCGTGTCATCTTGGACTCCCGGTAGGGTATCCTCTTGTCACCACGTCCGATAGCATCGATGCACTGGCTCAGGACAAAGAGACTTTTGTTGATGGCCGCAGATTCCACCAACCTCTCCTTTCCGTTGTCGGTTCGGCGGTTGTCCTCAGATCCGGCCAAATCAATGGCGGATGCTGTGCTCTCCCTGACCATGTCCGAAGTCGTTTGGATCAGCTTGACTCTTAGGATAGCATGGCTGCGGCTACTGTGAGCATTGAGCTTGGTAGCTGCCGTGACGCGGTTGTTGTTGGCTTCGATATAGAGCTTCTCAAAATCCTTGAGGTCTTCACAAGCTCTTTCTGACAGACCGACAACGATAGTCTTGCCATTGGCCTCAGCTCGTAGGGGCAGACCGGTTGGCGTTCGCTTTTCGGGTGGCTCGAGGAGATCAAAGACCTTGTCGTTATAGATCTCGTAGTAGGACAGCAAAACCTGCACATCCGTCTCACCACGAGAATCCTTCATGATCTTCTTGCCCCTTCGAAAGACGTTGCTGAGCATCCGAGGAATCACCCCGCGGTCTGCCAGCTTCATACCGCCTCGCATCGTGTGTGTTTTACCGGTACCGGTGACACCATAGGCGAATATTGTGACATCGTATCCCTGGAAGAGAGACTTGACGTGCGGCGCCACTACTCGAGTCAACACACGATACGATACGAGCAGGAAAGAGACGTAGTAAACGAAAACAAGACGAAACAAAACGCGTTAGCTTATGAGATCGCACCTTCAGCAGTAAACAATTCCTCTTGAGTCGTAGATCGGTCGTACACGCCATTGAACGCGAATGAGAACTCCTCAGCCTCGTTCTTGGGGTTGGGGATCTTGACGACCGTGTTTGGCTTGCCAGAATCCGCGGTATCGGCTCGAACGATAATGTCACATTCGCGCTCCTTTTCCAGCAGCGGTCTTATCCTGGAGACCACTCTCACACTCATTGTGTGTATTCGGTATCGAGAGGATTGTATTGGTTGTGAGGGCGAAGAAGCTCAAGGTGTCGTTGAGTCGGACTCTGTCAGCCTACCAAACTGGCCGCTACCACGTCCTGAAAGTTAGCAAAGATTTGCTATAGAGAAAGATAGCATGGGTAGCGGTCTAGTGAAATGAGGATGGAAAGCACGGGCGTTGGCACAGCAACGGACGCACACGTGACATGACGTGTGGGAACGGGAACGGGAACGGGAAAAGCCGCTAACAAGACTGATTCGCTTTTGGTGATATTACCTTAGCGGGTTCCATGGCTTGAATTGAATTGAATGTGAGTTGGTGGATATACAAGTTGTACAGCTCTCTCAGAGCTCATATATCCAACACAAAATGCGAGGCCAATTGCCCTTGACGAGAACGGCGCGAGGACTACGGCTGCGGGTATTACCCTCGTATACTTGCACTCAGTGCCGGAGTATTCAGATCAGCGCTGCGCCGAGCACTGAAGCGCCAAAGGTTGGGCCTGATGCCTTTGGAGCTCTCGAGACGAGGGATCCTGCGGGTATGATTTCTCTGTGCTGCCATTGAGCCATGAAAGAAGCGAGTCTCTGACCATTTCTTTACCTGTTTAGATGCTCGATTCGAGGTTCTCGGTTCCCCGTATTCGCTCCTTTCTGTTACCTTGTCGGCATCGCAGAAGCTCTATACTCGGAGGGGTACCTTGGTTGCTGTAGCTGGCAAGCCTGAAAATGTACGCACGCACGCAACATCAGAC